CCCACCCACCGCGTTCTATGTGGCGCGTTTAAACGGTTTACATATGAGAGCCCACGCCGCCGCCCGGGCGTCGGACCCGCACCCGCACACGACAAACACACCGCCCCCCCCCCCTCGCGCCTCACTGAGACAACTTGCTAATAACTGTTTGCGCACGGTGATTATTTGGTCTGCCCGAGTCCTACCCTACACGTCACGCCAAACACACATACACACACACAAGCACGTGCGCGCACACACACAGTGACAGAGAGCCATATACTGCCACTGCAGTGGGCGACTGCCCAGTAAATTAAGGACGCCGGCACGCACACAACTATACCCAGAGCTAGCCACCACTGCCAGAGGCGCGCGTGCAGCTGGGTGGGGCCACCTCCCTCGAAATGAAGAGCAGCAAATAGCAGTACAATTTGCTAAGGCCTGCACATCGTGGTCGTTGCTGGCGGAATGACGAAGTGACCCTCTGTGATTCGTTTAATTTGCGAGCTTGATCTTACTCTGTACATTTTCAAACTTTTCTCGTTCTGTTAAAGTGTTTTATTTTAACGCACTTTCGCTTATAATTTACTAGAAAATTTGTTGAACCAATAATTTTATAAGAAGATCGTGAAATTTGTTTTTCTGGTAGATTTACAGGTTTTTTTTACAGTTCAGCGGGGGCAAAGAAAAAAAAGTATCTATTTCTTCCCCATTTACTCGGATGAATGCCTTCTTTTAAGGGGCATGTTCTCGTTTCCTCTTTTTGCACCGTAAAAGGCCGAAAAAAGAAAGGAAAACTGTCGGCCGTGGGTCTGGGTCATGGGAGCAGTCTGGCGATCTGATCGTGTCCTGTGCGCACCGCCCTTCTCCAGGCCCTCCGCCCCCGCCCGGCCCAAGCCCGCGGCGGGGGCGCCGGCTCCGGCTGCCAGTGCTGCCAGGCGCCGCTAACGAAGCAACAGGGAGTGTCTAATCACCTGGTCAGGTCGGTAATCACCTCGTCTCGCTCCAGGAGATAAGAAAAGAGTTGTGCGATGATGTTCCGAGAATGGAAGAGGGAGAGGGATGGGGAG